TAGAAGACCCCTGTCCCTTTCTTGGTTACACCGAGTTAGGTGCTGCCGAAGCACTCTCATCGCTCTCGCGAAAAAAAGAAAAGATTTCGCAGTACACAGAGGCCTGCCGCACAAGTACCTCTGCTGTCGAGCGCAGCGATGCCAGCTAGTACCTTTTTGCGACTTGACGAGCCACCGTGGTGGCGAGCGAAGAAAACTCAAAAACCCTAATGCCTTAACCCGTGTGCTGCCTTCCCCACCTTAAGCAATGTAGGTGTCGTCTTTTGCTTGAAAGTTTTGCTTGAGAGTTTTTCTTTGGTGCTTCAGACCAGCTTCGTGCAACATTGCTGTTCAAGGTGGGAAGCCGGGTCTCGACTACCCACCCTCCACACCCGTCGAGCCACCTGCAGACTGTCCTGTTGGACTTTAGCTTGTGCGAGCTTAACAGCTCTTTCTGCAGCGCTGTGCGACTGCCCTTCACAGCCCAGTGTGTGTGCGTCTTCCGACGCTTTGTGTCTTCTGACGTCAACCAGCACAGCCGCGCTGGCAGCACTTTCACGGCGTTCCTTTTGCACTTTACAGCTCAGTGTGTGTGCGTCTTCTGCGAGGCTCTACGCCTTCTGTAGTCAACAAGCACAGCCGCGCTGTTAGGTCTGGTGGCAAGTAGACACCTTGCCACTTGAACGAGCGCCTGGCCGGGCAACCCAGTTCGCCCCTGTGCAAAAAGAGTGAGAGCGTGTGACCTGTCAGCTTACCCTTATTGCAAATATTTCGACTGAACATTTATAGCTTGAGCTTGTCCAACATTTTGCATGGTTCGGCATGATTTGGTTTTGAGTTTTTCTTTAGCAAAAACCCTTTTTAAACCGGCTCATTTTGGGCGCTGGGTTTTGGCACGGCTCACACAGAGAGGCCTGCTCCAAGGGTTTACGGCGTAACTCACCGAAGGTGATGTAGTTTTATTTCCTATGATTCCGATTTTAAAATGTCTCATTTTAGAGCCCGAAGTTTCCTCAATCGTCTCTTTCTTTTCTGTGAGCGATTTGAGAATGAGTTGCGTGTGCAACATTGTGGCTCCAGGGTGGGAGGTGGGTTTCCCCCGTAGCTAGGCAAAGGCCTAGTTT